AATACATTTTTGCTGTTCACACCCCTGGTCAGTGGTCCTTTCTCAGATCAGCACAACAGGTACACTACCACAGACTGACAGTGAAATGCAATTAAGAGGGGACAGCAATTACTATAGGGTGGACATTCTATAAGGCAATTGTTGTGTCCTCTTGTGACAAGGTCCTGATGTTCAGGGGAATACTGCAACTGTTCCTGATTGAAAGAGTCTGGAGACCTGCCACTGAGGCCTGCATGTGAACTGGGACTGCAGCATGTCCTGACCAAAGGCAGATGAGGACAGTGACAGGATTTGAGGTGGACTTGATAACTGGAGGCACAAAGTGCTAAGGCTGATCTATAGATTCTTTGTGGCGTTGGCTTGTGTAGGAGGATGTCACCGGGAGGAGGCACATAATAAAATGTGGTGGGCCATCAGGTCTAAGCTGACTCTCAAATGGTTTCAGTGGGAAAGAAGAACTTTGTGCTGTTCATAAATGTCTGAATGTTTGAAGTTTCCTCAAAGTTTTTCAAAGATGAAACATCTATAGTTGAAAAAGAAAAAGGTTTTTCTTATCATTTTGTAATAATCCTGACCCGTTCTTATGGCCATCTGCTATTGTCTGTTCCCAAGGGATGAAACTAGAGTTTTGGTCCCCAAACTGGTGATATTAGGAGGTGGTAGAACTTTTAGAATCTGGACCTACCAGAAGGTCTCTAGATCAGTGGGGACACTGCACTCAGAAGAAGTGAAGGCCCTTCTCATGTGACTACAGCTAGTTCCCAGGAGGATGACTTATGCAGACCAGCCTGCCCACTCCCTGACCTATCTGGCCATTGGACCAGAAGAGAGATAGTCTCTCTGACAGGTGAAACTTCTGTCCCCCATTGCATCTTTGGAATAAGATTAGAGTGAGTGTCCCCCAAATCTATAATTCTGCCAAACAGCAATTGAGAGCTTTGGAAGAGGAATGTAGGTGCTGGGAACAGGAGAGTACATGTTTGCTCTCCCACCTCTAACTGGGACTCTGATTTGAAGAACCCACAAGGAGAAGATCAGAGTTTAAGGAGTAGTGAGTACAGATCAGGGGACACAATGAAAATGACTCACTCCCCCCTTTGTCTGGAAAAGTCTCATATTTTAAGAAAAATAAATAAGTAGAAAAGATTAAGGAAGAACAGAGTGATCTCCACCAAAAATAAATATTAGATGTAGTAAAAGATGTTCTGCTAAAAGTGGGTCCAGTTTGTCCTTCTAGATGGTGACATAGCACACATTCTGGCACTGGCCTGTGTGTTGTGTGGACTCATGAAGCAGGAGCAGGATGGAGTGAAAGACAATGTCCTTCATAAACAGATGGGTCAAGGGACAAAGGCCCATTAATTATGCTGGAAGCACAGGAGTTCAACTGCACTGGCTTTTCCTCTCTTCTTCTGAGTCTGTCCATGCTGAAGGATAGGACCTGGACACTCAGTGCCCCACTTGCCCTGAGTGAGGTCATTGCTCCAGGGCAAGGTGCCAAAGCAGCAGTGTAAAAAATGTTATTTGCTATTTTATTGCCTGCCCATCACATTAAAATAAAAATTTCATGAGGCCAGGTTTTCTGCCTGATGTGTTCAAGTCCCTGGTCCCAGCACTGGTCAGGAGGCTGTGGGTGCACAACATTATAAACAGTTTCCAACTTGGGTAGGGATAAATGAAGACCCATTCTAACAGAAGTTGGGACCTGAAGTTGTCACTTGTTACCCCAGGAGGAGCCGTTGGTGCCTTAAATCCATCAGTGACAGAGGGACTGGGGAGGACATGGGTTGATAATTAGAAGCCGAAGCCGGGTGACCTGAAGAGCAGTGACAAGGGTGATACTAACTCAGGTGGTGGCTCCTGTTCTGAGAAGTGTCTGTGCTGAGGGAAGCAACAGAGGGCTGGGTGGATGTGTCCCAGTGCCTTCTAGAGGCCAAAGAGGAACTTGAAGTGTGTATTTGAAGTTCAGAAGTGACCTGGGATGGAGACAGAGCTTGTGCTCTCTGTCCTCATTGTGTCCAGTAACAGGAGCATACTCCATGCACCTACACCACATGTAAATATTTCAATAATGTTTGGAAGTCATGTGCTCACCTTCACTGAGAGTGTGATGTAAAATGACTCATTTCTCCCAACTGCAGCAGAGTTGAAAGTGGACATTTGTGAGAACATGTCATTTGGGAAGGTTGATGAAAACTGCAGCTGCACCTGGATTTCTGGTGGTTTCTTTGGCACAGGACCCCTTCTCCTTTGGCTCTGGCCCTATTTTGTCCCCTCTGACACCTGTCCTCAGGCTTCTTCACATGTGGAATTTGCTTTGACACTCTGGTGTTTATCAGAATCCGGGGGCTCAAGGCCAGCTGCTCAGAGCTCTGTAAACACACTTTTCCTGGAGGTAGGGCCTGAGCACACATGGTGAGCACCAGCAACATGGTGACACAGCCCAGATCCTCCTCTGCATGGTGCTCGGGGGCTCAGCTGAGAGGTTCACACAAGTGTGATCCTTACAAAAGTACACAGTGACTGCAATGTGCTCAAAGAAAAAAAAATCATATAAACCAACCTGATTCTTTGTTAAGAATTAAAAAATCTACATTTGAGAAATATTTTAATACACTGGTAGTGGGTGTGTGATCCATGTATGGTCTTGATTGTAGGGACCTCTGGGGACCTTGTGATGATCAGTCTCCAGGCTCCCTGGCTGTGTCTGCCCGAGAGGGGGTCACCATCAGTAGCAAGTCCAGCCAGTATTTTTATTTTGAATATTTATTTTTATTTAGAGATGGACACAAGATCTTTATTTTATTTTATGTGGAGCTGACGATCAAACCCAGTGCCTCGTGCATGCTAGGCAAGCACTGACCTCTGAGCCACAAGCCTAGCCCCTCCAGGCAGCGTTGTGTCCAACCAGAAGGAAAACTTGGACTAGGAAGAGCAGAGACCCGATGTTAACTGCTGACACCCACCCAGGGCCCTGGGGACCCACGCAGGTTCAATGGCAGTGGGTCAGGGACAGATTTCACTCTCACCACCAGCAGCCCCAGGCTGAGGACCTGGAAGGTTCCTGCTGTCCCTGTGCTCTCTGCTCCTGCCACAGTGCTTTGGCCTCCCACAAATGTCCTCCCCAGAACCTCAGTCAGCGAGTCTCGGCTGTACACACTGCTTCCATCCTGCTCAGCCCTGTTTCTCCTCATTGTATCAAAGCCTCATGCCAGCACAGTCATGGGAGAATGTGCAACTCTGGGGAAGATTGAGTAGAGCAGCTGCCCTGAGTGTGGAGCACCATGAAGCCTTGGCCTGCATCTCTGTGGTGACTGTTGGGAACTTGCTGTTAGGTGTCCAGGACATCTGCCTGCCTGACATCTCCATACACTTGGATTCACATTTCTGGTCAACATGAGGCTCCCACTGCATCTCATGGCCCAGGGCCAGGGTGCTCAGGCCCTGACAGAGAAATTCCTCTCCTGTGCCTGATGACTCTGCCCTTGACATTTTGCTCTTGGAGATGTCACCTTGCCCCATGGCTCCATCACCCGAGAGCTTCCCAGGCTCAATGTGTAGGACCTTATTTTCCAGCTGTCTCCACCAGACTTAGTCGGCCTCTCTAACCACCCCTGTCCAGCAGCCCCTCCAGTCAGCCACTTCTGGTCTGATTCTTGCATTTGCATGGTACTTTGTTTCAGAACTGGATTTTTCCTCCTTTCTATTCCTCTAGGTCACAAGTATTCTCATGTCCTACTTCCTCTCTGAAGGCCTTCTCAGTGGGTGTACCCTGTGGTGCTTTCTGTCACTGCCTTCATCCTGCTCTGTTAACTTGTCCAAAGTGTCTCATGCCTGTGACTTGTCTGTCAATCATGGGTCACATCCAGACTTGAAATTCAAGCCCTGTGGTCAGTTTTCCACCCTTATCTTGCTTGGTCTTACCTTACTATTTTGTAGGACATATAATCACGAAATTTGGTTATAGTCTCCTATGTGTGCTTCACTGTTCTAAGTAATTAACTGTGTTAAAAATATGGGTAGACAGAGTCAGACATGTGGTGCATGCCTGTAATCTCAGTTACTTGGGAGGCTGAGGCAGGAAGATGGTAGGTTCAAGGCCAGTCTCAGCAACTTTAAGAGTCTCTAAGCAAATTAGCAAGATGCTACCTCAAAAAAAAAAGGCTGTCATGTGGTATATATATATATATATATATATATATATATATATATAAATGTGTTGAAAATGCTTCCTTAAATACTAGTTTGCTGACTCGTGTTCATACAACAGAAGAATCACTTGGGGTGCTGTTAAAATGCAAATGCCCTATACTAAGTTAAAGAATGCTGATCTATCAGGTTACTTTGTACATGGAGAATACATATTTCTCACAAGACTCTCTTGAGTCTGAACTTCAGTCCATCCAGAAACACTCTAGTTCCTGATGAATAATTTTGATTTGAAAAATCTATGCTTTTTTTTGTGATAATTACCAAAAAGAAATGGTAAGGGAACCTTGAAAAATGAGTGAGGTCCCTTCTTCATCCCTCAGTAGCTCTTCTTTAGTCCTATGACTGGAAGGAGAGTCTCTCTTGGTTTTTTAGGAGGGGTAGTTTTTCCACTGTAACAAAGAATCACCAGTGAACATGGCTGCAGTCCCTTGGAAGCTCACCAGTTGTAGGTTGTTCTCATTTTCCTTCCCTTTTACACCCACGGCCAAGGTTTCTTACATTCATCCCAGGGTTATAGTTGCAATACGAGGTACAGTAATCTGTACAGTTACTGCATCTTTGCTGCTACTGGAAATCTAATTGTGGCTTTCCACCCTCCCATGGCCAATCTCTCTCCTCTTAAGGTCATGTACTGGAGATGCATATGGTAGTGGTGAAGAACCTTCAATAATTACAAAAAGTTTAGTCATGCAGGTGAGAGATGATGCAGGTTGGATATAGGTCAGTTTTAGAGAAAAAGATCAATAAGAGGTTTTCTGTACAGAAAGTCAAAAGAAAACAGGAGAAAGTTAAGTAATAAAAGCCTGTTTATTAAATATTCTCATTGGCATCATTTCTATTAGGAAAATTACTCTGGTTTTCAAAGACAAAGAGGCTCTGATTTTCCTGGACCCATTAATATGTTTTATGTCAATTTCCCAAGAGGGATTAGTTATGAGCATAAAAATGAAAACAAACTTTCTAGTCCTTCTTGAAATTTTGTAGTAAATTGAGCAACATGGAGAAAACATTTATTATTTTACATTAAATTTTGACTTTACGTTTAAAAGTTATATGGAAGTTTAATTATCACAGCTGCTTCTCTCTCGCTTGGCCCCTGTTGGAGACACAGCTCCTGGGCCGATCCAGGTTCCAGATTGCTAATGTGACAGCTTGGGTGGAGGGTGCAGAGTGCCATCCTACAAGATTTTTCAAGCTGGGGAATTATGAAGATCCAGGGAAAAAAAAGTAACATCATGACAGAAGCCAAGGGACATGACACACAAATGATGCCACTAGTTGGTTGTCCAAGGAGTGTTTTTCTCAAATTCTCTTACACTGCAAAAAAAAAAAAAAAAAAGGATTCTATTATAAACCAAAATTATTGATCTTTCATGGCACCCTGGGTCACTGAAATAGATCACAGTCACAAAAAATTCCTGCATAGGTTAAGATCGGATAGATAGTGTCTCAGGCCTACAGTTATCATCAAAAATGAGGCAAAAAACAGAATACATTCTTTTGTCTACATCCCATAAAAAGTAAAATTTGCACCAGTGCTAAAGATATTCCCAGACCCTGGAGATGAATTCTGAGGGGAGTCAGAAGTTTGTGTCTCCTGGAATGAGCTTGAGAAGGTAAATTGCATGAGGAGTTGCACAGTAACATCAGGACATCTGCCTTCCAACAGAGGGTCTGGATTTGTGTTTGGGACTGTGACTCTGTGGGAATTGGGGTGGCTTCACAGAGAGCAGAAAGCATATCCCTAGCCTCCCCACTGTTTGGAGTGTAGGCGGTGAATGGACATCTGACCCTCTTCTCAGAACTGAGTTGGGCTGCAGAGCAGGAGGCTGATTGACAGGATCCCTAGATCCAGTCCTGCCTGCTGTGTACACTGGGACAGTGTGATTAGTCACAAGCTCCTTTGTTGTCCTTAGAGTTGATGATGATCTTCTCACTTTAGAGACCCACCCAAGTTATGATCACTGGGTAGCAACAGAATATTCTAGAATTTTAAAATATCTTTGAAAATGTATCTAGATATAGGTTCAGATGTAGATCAGTGATAGAACATTTGCATAGCATGTAAGAGGTTCTGGTTTCAATTTCCCACAAACCACAAAAACAAAAACCAGAAGAAAGAAAAAGAAAAAATACATATATTCATATATCAACATAAACAAAAACATATATATAACAATAAGTCTATTCATTTTTATTCTGTATCTAAAAAATGTCCATTTTTCACAAATTAAAATATCTTTGAATTCTCTGAAGGCCATGATTATATTTGATTCCTTCAATAAATGACTCTCACTATATTCTTTTTTACTTTTTATCATTCAAAAATATTTTAGAATAGGTATTTCCATTTCCTGCCTAGTCCAGTGTCACCTCACTCACCTAACCACACCAGTGTACTCAGGTCAGCCTGACTTGCTGGAAGACTAGTTGGGGTCTCTCAGCTCTGATCTTCAGTGACAAGGAAAATGACCTACCTGGTAGCTGAGCACTGACTGTTCCCTGCTCTGAGTAAGACCCGGGATGATGACCCCTCTGCCTCTGGGGACACAGTTAGTTTGGACTGAGCAGACAGAGACCCTGCCTGACCCACACCAGGGAGTGTACTTAAATCCCTAGGCAGCAGTTACATTCCAGGCTCATGCACTCCTTCTTTCTTGTTACTAGTGACATCTTCAGACCTGGTAAATAGCAATCCCCTCAGTGGGGACAAATTCCTGTGTCCTTCTGCACCAGGCCATTCCTTGCATTCTCTATCTGACAGTGATCACAACTTCACATGCATTATTTGTTGTGATGGTATAGAATCCTATCATTAAGGGATGGAAATCACTCCCAAAATGACCTACACCCCTACAATAGAACAGCCACAGAACCCTTCTCCACAGAGCATCTCACACAGAGAGGAAATTCAACAGAAGAGGTCACAGAGTCCCGTGGGAAGTGCTTGAGGTTCACCAGGTAATGTCTGGCCAGCCCCAGTTGTCATGGGGTGAGACAAGAGCAGGTGTCTTGTTAGAGCAACAAGCCATTTTCTTTGGGTCACAAGTTGCATCATTTGGGGACCCAGGCTGTCTGGAGCATCTAAAAGGCAATATTCTAGGACCTGTGAGGAACAGCCTCTAGGTCAGCTCTCAGAGATGGGAACAGGGGCTCTCCTTCATAGGTATTGATCCTCTAGGATCCAGTTGAGGGATGCAGAGGAACATGGGCCACTCTCACTAGCCATGATGACTCTCAGTATCTCTGGGTTCTTGGTCATTGATAAAGTTTGTTGGGGACATTATGAATAGCTGTCACATTTTTCTTTCTGTTTACTCAGAGCAATACCTATAATGGAGGTTACAGTTCCAGTGAGCAGAGGGCTGACCCTATGTGAGTGTTGCTGTTAGGCCTGCTCTACAATGTCAGGACCCACTGAGTGTCCCCCCACAGAAGTTCTGTGCAGCAGCCCCAGGCTCCTCACTGGGGTTGGGAGTCATGACTTGGCCCAAGACCCACTGCCACTGACCTGGAAACCATGGATGTGTGCAAGGAAGCTTCTGTGAAAGGATGTTTTCTTTAGCCAAAGTGACCATGGTACTCATAATTCAGGAATGACCTCCAACCCTTAAACTAGGATATGCCCAGAAAAATACATTCTTAAAGTGCTCAAAAACAACCCATTAACTTGACCAAGGGAGACACTACCATAGTTTGGGAAATTTACTCACGTCCTTCAACCCTCACCCAGTCTATTGTCCACAGTGAGCTGAAGGGTTAGGATGCAAAGCACAGGTGGAAACTGTTTGAGCCAGGGCCATTGAAACCCTCTCTGAGGCCTGGGGGCCACATGTCAATGGAAGTTCCATGTGTCTGTAGAGACAAAAACTGGCCTCCAGAGAGACAGCTGATCCTCAGATGGGTAAGAGCCACTTCAGATCTGTACTTCCTTCTGCATGATGATTGTGACAGAGGAGGTCGTTAAGTCAATCCCAAGCAAGGTCCTCCTGTTTGAGCCTGAGTGTGCACAGAGGGGTGGATACACTAGGAAGGGAAGGGACTTTCCTGCTGAGGGCAGGGGTGGAGTAGGGAAATCCAGGGGGAGGGAGGGGTGGAGGCTATGTATGCACATCGGTGTTGGTTTTGAGTGGGTTGTGATTGAGTGTGGTTGCCATGGTATTAGGTCCTACTCCGTGAAGTCTTTATAAACACCTTATATGGGAAAAGTGCCTTTGCAAATGGAAACTATGGCTATTTGAATATTAGAGATTACCCTATGTTTACCAGGCATGCCCAAAATGCAGGCCCAATGGCCTCATAAAAATCAGGTAAAAATGTAAAGAGACACTTTACATAGATGGAAGGATGAAAGTCAAGGGTGATAAAGGGTGAGACAAATTCATGGGGTGCAGCCACCAGAGCTGGAGATAGAGGACCAGACTGTCCCCTGTCACCTCTATACCTGGTATTGGCCACTGGGACTCTGGCCTGCAGCACTGTGGGGCATGGTACTAATGTTGCTGTGACCTGCAATCTCTGCTTAGTGTTTACAGCACGTGTTGGGAACTCACAACATGGGGCCCAGGGAATACCAGGCTATGGCTGTTGGAGTCCTCATCAACATCCTAGTGCTCTACAGGAATGGACACTGGAAGTTCCTCTAGTAGGAAATACAGCACATGGAATCCCACAGTGCAGAGAGGCTCCTGCTTTCTGTAGATGAACAGTGGGGGTTGCCAGTTGAAGAAGATATCTCACTACTGGGACATCACACAGTGTCCCCATTTTGAGATATTCAGAGGGACTTAACACCGACTCTGTGACTGTGTGTTTACAGCATCATATTTCAGGTGAGTCATTTGGTTTATCCCAGGACCCCTCTGATATTTTTGCTGTGGCTTTCCACAGAGGAGGCAACCAGTCATCCCAGCACAATGGGGTCCACAATGACACGTGGACTGTGAGGGCTGTGGCTGGCTCTGAAGCCAGGTCTGTCTGAATTTAGATGCATTTCTTCCACATGGCGACAGTCTTCCCAAAGGTGCAGCATGGCCTATGCGGTGGGAGGAGAGGATCCAAACTGAAGGCAGGGAACCTCAGCTCCTGCTGCCTCTGCCCACTCCCTGCTGACCTCACCTGAAACTCAGGCCTCTGCAGGTTCTTCTGCAAAACACAGCCCTGTAGCCCTCCCTGCCCTACTTGCCTTCATTTCAGATGTGGGCAGGGATGTGCCTTGCACTGCCCTGATCCTCCCTCCTGCGCTCTGCCCCCATTTGTGACTAATTCCTCCCCTTTAGCTCTCCCCTGTGAATCTAATCTGTACCTCTGACATGGAGACCAATGAGCACAGAGCAAGCAAAACCCTCCTCTCTCCTCAGGTGCTGTGAACAGAGCCCACATGAGGGAGATTTATCTATGTATTTCTACCTCAGAATACCTCTGGAAAGATCCATTCTTAGAATAAAGGTTTTCTGCCTCATGTCAATGTAGAAACCAAATAACAGGAATGTGACAATGTTTAGTGGGGCAGTGGATGGCCACTGCCAGGGTGTCTCTGTCCCTTCCCTTGCATCAGTCCCTCCTGCTGCCTCCAAAGACCACCATCACCTCCTGGGCTTAGAGCAGCCCAGGCTGGTTATCTCAGGGTCCTGGAGCTCAGATTCCCACTGAGCTGAAACCAGGGCAGGAGGGCTGGGTGACTTCTGCAGGCTCCTGAGGACAGAATTCAGCTCCAGGCTTTCCAGCTCCTAGGTTCTCTCACTTTCTTCTCCTGGCTCCTCCCTCTGTCTCTCAAGATCTCTCAACGTTGACCCATCCCCTGACTGTGACTCTCCCTCCTTCCCACTCTAAGGGCCCTAGTGATTATATTGCTCTCCTGCAGAATATTCAGGAAAATCTCCATGTCGTGAATCTTTAACATAATCCCACCTCCCTTTGTTGATGTAAGGTAATATTCTTAGAATTTCAGGATCAGAATATGGGTGTATATTGATTTCCTATAGAATGTCTCAATGGAGGCGATTCCTTGATATTGGGAAGTCATAAAAGTGCATCATTCATTGTCTCCTGCAGGTGATACATGGAGGCATGGGAAGGGGAGAATCACCTGGTGAGTACTAGAGTCCATGGGCAGCTTCAGAGCACAACCTCAGGCCTTCTGCACAGCTCTGAGGACCCCAGGGTTGGGCACTCTTTAATTTCAGTAGAATATTCTCTCTGGATTCTGGGTGAGCAGCAAGGATTCCTGTTTCTTGTGTCAGCTTCTCTGACTACCAGACCCCAGGACATTACAGGGTGGATTAGATGTCTGTTTTCTCACCTAGAAAATTCCCAATTGGGACACCATTAGGGGATTGTGTGTTGATGTATGAATCCAATGGAAACCATAACCAAATTCCCCATGTCTAACAAAGGCTTTCATTGATTTCAGGGGAGCATAATCATGTCTGTTTCTCTTGGGCTGACGAGGAGCAACTAGCGGGGGTACACAGAATACTCTTTGGCTCTTTCTACCAAAATCTCCCAGTGACCCTCAGAGCCTGGTGCCTCTGGGCAGTGCCCTCAGCAGGTGGAGGCAGCAGGAGGAGCAGCTGGGGCAGCCCATCCTCATACTTCTGCTCCCTGGGAGGTTTTTGTCATGGCCTATATCACTGTGGGAGGGTAACCTTTATACTGTTGACAGTAGTAAGTGGCAAAATCTTCAGGCTCCAGGCTGCTGATGGTGAGAGTGAAATCTGTGCCAGATCCACTGCCACTGAACCTGGAGGGAACCCCAGATTCCAAATTGTTTGCATGATAGATGAGGAGCTTAGGAGCATGCCCTGGTTTCTGTTGGTACCAGGCTAAACCTATGCCAATGCTCTGCCTGGCCCTGCAGGTGATGGTGACTCTGTCTCCTAGAGATGCAGATAGGGAGGAGGTATGCTGTGTCATCTGGATGTCACATATCACACCTAACATTGAAAACATATAAACAAACAAAAATTATTCATATTAAAAGGCACTTCTATGTTTGGCCAGCAACCCTAAAAACAGTAGGCTGATTAACTCCCCAGTGCTATCCCTCCTTACCTGGGAGCCAGAGGAGCAGGAGCACCAGGAGCTTGGCAGGGGCCCTCATGGCCATGCTGTGTCCTGTCTCAGACTGACTCCTTCACAAGATGTGACCGGCATATGAAGAAGTCCTCAGGGCAGTGGGCTGTGCTGTGGGAACAGGCAAATCAGGAGGGCTGGGCAGGGCTGGGCACAGCTGCAGGGTGGTCTCCTGCCAGTCACTCAGCACAGGTCCAGGGTGCCCAAGTGTCTCTAGAGTAAACAGATCACCATGGACTTGGCAGTGGATAATGTGTTTTGAGTGACAAAGGACAACATCCTCCTTGTGCCATCAGTGTAGAGTATTACTTGATCTCTGGAAGGTGGTCATGTGCTTTCTTGGTCTTCATTTCATCCTGACAGGGTCTGTCAGTCAGGACAGAAATCCATTAACTGCAATTAAGTTAAATGAAGGTTGCTTGAGACCCCACAGATATTAGTGAGATGAGACCAGCTCCTCTTTGGTCCATTTCCCTTGTGCCCTTTCTGTGAATGAGAAAATCAAAATAAACATGGGGGAGGGTCACAATTTATAAGAATGAGCAGGATCTGTCCTCACTTACTCTTCTTCTCATCTCCAGCTAAGCAAGAGATTGTCCATGAATGCTGTGTCCCTCTACATACATCCAAGTCATCCAAGGTCAGGAAGTGTCTCTGTCCACCAGAGGAATACGAGTGAACTTCTTGTCTCTGCTTGTGATTATCCATATCCACATTTAATCTTCCTTGGATTCACAGATTACAGCTCCTCCTCTGTATTATATAGTAATCAGATCAAAGTCTTCAGAAGGGGAGGTTCCCTCTCTGCAATGCTCCTCATTGACACCCTTGAATCTACAAAGTTCCTAAAAACTGCATATTCTAATCTTGTTCATCTCCTAGTTCAGAATGGAGCAGAGTTATTAATGGCTGCCCTGAGGGCCCCTGGATTTAGGCAGGGTAAAGTGATAAAGAAGCAGGTAAGCAAGTGAAAAAGAGTTCAGCAGAGAATGAAGGGAAATATGGGTTCTGGAGGTTGTCCCCACTCCTCCCAACACACCCACACACCTGTTGCACTCTGACCACTAACTGGCCATCTCCAACTTTGTACCCCATAGAGTGTCCCCCTAACCACGCCTGGACTCTGTTCCTTACATAGGAACCTCATCCCTCTGAGTACTCTGCCCTTTCCTCTTTCTTGGGTGCCCACAGTGAGTCAAAGGTACAACTAACCCCAATTAGTGGCAACCTCAGGACCAATGAGACTGCACTCACACACATTTCTCCCTCGCCCTACTTGAGTCCTGCAGTCCTAAAACAGCCATTAGAATTGGGTTCTTTAAGGAACTACTAGATACTTGGTGATGACAGAAATGCACACTTAGGCAGCCAGGCTCTGAAGCACATTGACTGGAAGGGGAGAGGGTACCTCTTTGTGTATTCGCCATCTTTCCATCCCCTCAGCTCCATCAGAGCAGACCAGGGTGTGTCTCTCCTTATTTCCTAAAAGACATGGAGTAGTGAATGTTGGGAGTCCACATAGTGGTATCCCATGAGATTTATACAGCTAACAGATACTCAAAGCAGGACTGGATTTAATAAAGGGATTGAAGTTCACACTACAGACATTAATTGTATTAGCAGGTCTGGCTGTTAGGGATATTGGTCTTAGAAATAGGGGATTCTCTGTTTCTCCCCATAATCCTGAACTCATCTGTCAGTGTAGGTAAAGACTGCCTAATTCTGTATTCTCAGAGTGCTTTAGGGAACTCCAGAGTGGAGGTGGTTCTCTTAGCCTCCTATACCTCATAACCTGGTCATTCTGCTGATATCTCCTCTGTCTATAAAAACTGCCTAATTTGGGCTGGGCACAGTAGCACATGCTTGTAATCCCAGTGGCTTGGGAGGCTGAGGCAGGAGGATTGTGTGTTCAAAGCAGCCTAAAGAAAAAGCAAGGTGCTAAGCATCTCAGTGAGACCCTGTCTCTAAATAAAATACAAAAATAGGGCTGGGGATGTGGCTCAGTGTTTGAGTGCTCCTGAGTTCAATCCTGGCACACACACACACACACACACATACAAAACAAAACAAAAAAACAAAAAAAAGACTGCCTAATTTTGTATTCTCAGAGTCTTCCAGAGAGGTCCAAACTGCAGATGGTCCTCTCAGTCTCCTGTAGCTCCTCACCTGGTGATTCCACTGATACCTCCTCTGTCTATGCCTCTGACAATAGGTGCTTGTGGGTGTAGAATTATTCACTTTGGTGTCTGAATCATACAAGTGCCTCAGTTGAGCAATTTTAAAAAACACATAATAGAAAAATGGATTCTGTGATCTGTGCTCCCCAAGGTGATGGTGATCATGGACAGCTGACAACAGACAACATTACCCTCTTATAGCCACTATTATCCCAACTCTCATTATGTTTCCACAAAGGGATTGATTCATAATATGTGGAGATATTTCAAGTATTATCCAATCTGAGATCAGGGGGAAATTTCACAAAGTAAACTGAAAATGATGAAAGTAATTCAGTATGCAAAAATAATTCTTATTTTTACAGTGGGATTAGCAAAAGCTAAGACAAAAGCATGGAGCCCATTAAAGAGAAACAAGTATGTGCTACAACAAAACTTTCCCTTAAGAGACAAATGACTTGTAATTCAAAGTAGACCAGCAGGTGGCAGCACCAGACACATTGAGATTATTGAAATGGAGAGCAGCTGACTGTCCTGCACACATAGGAGGAACAGCTGTATTTAACAAGGTGCAGGTGTGCTCATCAGCTTCCCACCACTGTGAGCAAAAATCTCTGCACAGCACCTTGTGGGGAAAAGACTAATCTTGATTCTTGATTTCAGAGGTTTCATGCCATAGACCGTGGCACCTTGGCTGGGGTCTGTGTGCCACAGACCATGGCACCCCATGACAGGGCTTCTGTGGCAGGGCAGAGCTGCTCACCTCAGGAAGCCAGGAAGAGGAGAGAGAGAGAACAAGAGGGAGAGAGAGGTGTAAAGGAAAATGCACACCTTCCTGTCATGCCTCAGTCGCTTTTCAGGGACTGTCATAGGGAGACACATCTCCTTGGTCTATTTGGCTCAGATAGTAAAGATGTGTCTTCTCAATGTTCTGCAGGCTGAAGGTGCAAAGTGAAGAGGCAGCAGATGACCCCTCTGTCATCGGCTGTCTTCATAGGGCTCCCTTCTTTTCTGTCCACACAGGCTTCTCCTTGTGGCCTGAGAGGGATGGAGAGAGCTCCCTGGACAGAGAGCTCCCTGGACATCTATTCAGAAGGACAAGGTTCCTGTGGGATCATCCTAACCTGGATGACCTTGTTTAACCTCCTTTCCTTCTTATAGATGACTTCTGCATACACACCAACAATGAGGTGAGGCGTCAACATATGAATGGGGGCAGTTTTACTAATTCTAAAGAAGTGGCCTTAGTGACTATGTGGAGGGTTGCAAAGGCAGGGCTGGGCATCCAGTCTCAGAGCACCAACATAGAGAGCTTTGTCCCACACCTCAGACCCCAGACAGGACCTCCAAATGCTCCTAGCCACACAGAGTCCCCATTCAAGCCTGGGGATCTCCCTGTAGGTAAAGGACAATATCACTCTATAACTTACCTAGCATTTCCAAGATCAAGCTTATCTTTGCAAATTGTGGTCTGTTCTGACCCCTACTGGTTTATTATTAGTATTGCATCTTACAGGGTCAGAAATGGTACCAAGGTGGCTTCCTGGAGTCCCTTCTCTCTTCATGATGGACCTCATTGTATTCCTTCAGTCACCAGAGCAATTCTGCAGAGAAGAGAAAATGATCCCTCCTCTGATGCAGAATCAACCTGAGGGCACAAGATCAACAGACAATTTCATGGTCAGAAAAGGAAATAGTCCTAGGACAGTAGAACACATCTGGACACTGTGATACAGGTGAGATGCCACAGGTGTGGATTTACTAAGATTCCTGAGGGCTGCAGTGCATACTGTCAGAGGTGGCTGGAACCATGTTCTCCTGGTCTAGATCTATCCATGAAGCCCCATTCCCATCATCCTAGGAGCCTTCCAGAGCCTACCCTAGGCCACAACAGCTACACCAACTGGGGGAAGGACCTCATGCCACCCAGTAGATGAGGAGATTTGTGTTCTGAGCTGCAGCAGAACAAAGACCTTGTGAATCTTTTAGACCAACACTGGCCAATAGAATCTCCTGCCATGATGAAGAGATCTATATCTGTGCTGTCCCATATGGCAGCTGTTAGCAACACATGGCCTCTGAGATGAAGCACGGGAAAGAACCAAGTGCAAAGGAAATGTTCATTGTAAAATTTAACTGATTCTGAGTTTATAGAGTCACTGTGGCTAGTTGCTCCACGTTAGACAGTACAGTTCTAAAACCAGCATCAGCACAATCTCTGTGGCCACCAGGATGCTAATTTACAGGCACACAGTCTTCCCCATGCCATGGCAATAGTGATGGACAGTGGCATCCTCAGCCTCCAAGCTGCCTCTGTAAGGCAGACATTAAAATGTGATATCCTGTCACTCTGATGTCTTTTTCTGCTGGGGTGGTTTCTAAAGATTTTTGTTCCTTTGAATTGGTCACATTTCCCTGCTCCTTTGTGTGCCTTGCCATCTTCTGTTGAACTGCAGACTTTGAATTAAACATTCCACATTTGCCCCAGTCTTTTAATTCTGATGTGGAACCCCTTCACTGATTATCTAAGGCTTGGTGTCTGCCTGGGTAAAGGCTTTGATCTTTCCTGGGCATACAGGTACCTGAGTATGTGCTTCCCCTCCCAGGTTCCCCAGAATCCATGGCAGTTTAGAAATGAGCTGGTTACCTGAGGGTTCCATGGAAGCTTCTTTAGGGCCTTGGTGTGCTGTGTGTTTCCTGATCCCTTTTCCTTCATGCAATGGTCACACACTGTGGCTCCCACCACAGCTGTCCATAGTTCCCTCACTTGAGACCTGAGCCCTGAACTTGTCCCTGTCTGAGTTCTGAGTCATGTGATAGAGAGAGCAGTCCACCAGGCAACCCACAGACAAGGTAGAAAGTCACAAGTAAGTGCTACTCTGTTCCTCTTGGGCCATGGGAGGGATCAGAGAATTGGGCCCTTTGTTTTCTATCCTGCCTCTTCCTGCAGGGACGGGGTAGGAAAAGTGCACAAAGGTCCAGGTGATTCCTGCTGTAACTCTGTTGGTCTTTTCTTGACCAGGCTTTCACTTTTATGTTTCAGAAGAATTTGGAGTGTAATCAGAATTTTTATCAGGTTTTCCCATTTAGTTTTCAGTTTTCTTAATTTATTTCATTTTTTATGTTTCAATAGGGAAAAAATTCCCAGAAATCCTTATTTAAATAGTGTTACTCTGACCCTGTCATCAATTAAAAAAAGCTATTTATTGATGAAATTGATTTAATTTTTTAAAAAAATATATTTAATGAGACCATTCTTTTCAATTTGAAGGACTGAGTATTCTAACTGCAATATTTTCTTTACATTACACTAATAAATTACTTACTTTAACTTTAGTTGTATTCTTGATGGAATATGTTAAGTTGGAAGTATAAACCTTAAGCACAGTATATTTTCCTAAGTAGCATAATTTGTTAATTTAGTTCATTTTTTTTAAAAATTTCTGTTATATAATATTAACACACTTGTTCATAGATCACTGTAGTTAGTAGAACACAATTTGAAACAGATAAAATGAAGCATTATGTCCCTGCCCTCACCCTGGGATATGGAGCCCTTACTGTCAGTCATGTGAGTTCAGCTTCAATCATCATCATTTCTTTAGGCTTTTCTTTATTTTCACCATGTGTGTCCATGTAGGATACAGGTTTTTCTGTCTCTAGATCTAGATGTTTAAAACTCATTACAAAATCTGGAACCCATACATTATATTCAGTTTACAAAATGTACTTCCACTTTCACTTAGGATGTAGCAGGCCTCAGCAGACCATCAGAATCACTGCACTAAGGACAGAAGAAAATAACCATAAATACTCACTTTAACTCAAGCTTGTCATGCCAATCAGAAGCCTTGGAAGAAATGAAAAGGAGACCTATAACTCCTGAGACAGGTTAGGACTTTTAGGTGAGCTGAAGTTCATAGATTTTGTTTTGTTTCCTCTCTAACATCTTGAGTGTCCCCAGCACTCTGGTGTGGCCCTAGCAAAGGGGCTGCCCTAGGGAAGAGGACTTGACTGCGCTTTGGGAGTTGACTTGAGCTGTGAGGTTGATTGTCATGGCTGAGTCCTCAACTGCAGGCTGGGTTTCTCCTGTGGGCATTAGCTAAGGTCAGGGTGGTCAAAAGTGGCCAGATACCAAGTTTTTGTGGGGCCTCCTCTCCTGTGATTGTGCACTGACCATCTCTGTGTGTATCTGGGACATGGCTTTGGACTCCTGTATGTCTGCTCATCTTTCCATCTCAGCTTTGCCTCCTGGTAAAACCTCCTTTCCATATTGTTCCCCATGGTCCCTCCTGAGTACACATTCTCTCTGGACTCAACCCCAGGTCTATCTTGTGGAAAGGGTCACCTGGTGGGAACTCTCCCCTGCCCCAATGGGTGGATAGGATTGTGTGATGTGAGAGAAGCACATTTGGACAGGAGCTTCACTAACCCTTGAGTCACTGGGCCCCTGGAGAGTGCAGGACACACCACAATTTCATGAGGCTTGCAGTGGGCAAGGACAACCTTGAGGGCCTGGCAGGGTCTGTGACATTTGAGATTCTCTCTGAGAAAGAGAAGAGATTCCATCTAGCTGTCTAGGTAAGGACGAACCCCAGCAGTGTGCACGGTTGTGTGCTGAACAATACTTGACCTTTACCACCCCCCTTCACCTTCTCATTCAGAGCCACGGCCCTAAGAGTAATAGTATTTTTCTCCATTTGAGCAAGTATTGGCTTACAGATTCTTACAATCACCCATAGTTTTTGGAATGTGGCATCTATTTTAAGTTCTGAAATTCTCTCACATTCGGCTCATTATTTAAAAATATGTCCATGGATTCACACCATGCCCTTTTTATTTCAGAACCCATGACTGACTCTGGTCAAAGGTATTGACATGAGGCCTCCCTGGGAGAGTGGTGTAAAATGCTGAGCCCAACCCTGAGCTGGAGAGGGATGTAGGCCAGAGATAAAGGAAGTACAAAGAAGGGTGATGAAGAGGAGGTCATCACAGCCCTGCTCAAGTCCAGCCATATGCAGTTGAGGTTTACACCAGAATAAATGCTAAAGAAACCACATACTTTGCATTGCCACAAACCACCTGATTCTGTGCCTGGTACTGGTGAAGGCACCTGATGGGAGAAAGCCCCAGTGTGAGCTGTCATTAAGCTCCCCTTACATCATGTTAGGTTGACCAGAGGCTCCCAAAGACCCTTCAGTCTCCCTCCTGCTCCTGCCCTGCCCCTCTGACAAGGTCTTAAAAAGAGCTTGAGCTCTAAGCTAGGTTCATGGTCCAGAGACTATGACTACTCTCTGTGCCCCTGAGATCCCAGGATCTTTCTCTCCAACAGACAGAGAATCTGCAGTGCCTCTCCCCTGAAAACAGCACATGTGGCAGCTGGGCCCAGCCGGGAGGTTTGTGGGGTTTTATACCATAATTTTTATATTTAATTTTTATAGCTTGCACACAGCAATAACACAAGCTTCATCAGCCCCCACTCTCCTGAGGTCCAGCATGAAATCTACCCTTGACCCTCGGCCATTGATGTTACCTGAGACCCAGAGTCAACTGGAAGCCCAAAAGGTCAGAAGCCACATAGATTCTCCTGCCTTCTGCAAGAATCAATGTATTCATCTGTTTGTAGAAGGCTCTGTGTCGACCTGCAGGAGGTGGATGGGTGAGAGGCAGGAGGGGGAGCCTGGATCATCACAGTATCACCTGTGTGTCCTCAAATGAGAGAGAAAAGGAAGGTTATGCTACCATTATGGGCCATGTTCATGATTTCTCTCCCAACCTTAATCTCAGGCTACTGTGGGGTGTGTGTGTGTGTGTGTTTCTGGGTGTGATTGTGTGTGAGTGTGTCTGTGAGTATGTGTGAGTGTGTGCACATTTGTGTGTCTCTGTGTGTGTCTGTATGTGGCTTTGTCTGTGTGTGTATGTCTGTGTGTATGTCTATGTGTGTGTGTGAGTGTTTGTGAATGTGTGTCTCTGTGTCTGTGTGTGTGTGTGTATGTGTGTGTCTGTGTCTATGCGTGAAGCTGTGTGTCTGTGTGTGTCTGTGTGTGTGTTTGTGTGCGTGTATCTCTGTGAGTGTGAGTGTGTGTGTGTTTCTGGGTGTGAGTGTGTGTGTGAGTCTGTGCACATGTATGTGTCTGTATGTTATGTGTCTGTATGTGTGAGTGTCTGTGTGTATGTCTGTGTGTGTCTATGTGTGTGTGAGTGAGTGTGTATTTGTGTGTGTGTATCTGTGTGTGTGAGTGTGTATGAGTGTGTGTGTGAGAGTGTGTGTCTGTGTGTGTGTGGCTGTGTGTATGAGTGTGTGTATGTGTGTGTGTCTGTGTGTGTATGAGTGTCTGTGTGTGTGTGCCCCAGCAGTGGTAACCATACACCTAAGGGTCCCACCCCAGCAGGCCTGCTCTCCCTGGAGCCTACCTGCTCTCACCTGATGGGCAGGGGCTGCTCTTTCACTGCTGGGCTCCCCTAACCCCACCTGTCTGAGATCAACGCAGGAGGATCCCGAGGTAAAGACCTCAGAGCCCAACCGTGGCTGGGCTGTACTGCTGGGAGGAGAGCAGGTGGGCAGAGCAGCTTGGAGCTTCACAGACACACCTGCCACACACATGGTTGTGTCTCCTGACCTCGGCATACACAGGCACAGGGTGAGGGGGTTAGGGCTGCAAGTAGAGTGAACCTGCTCCTCCTGCCTCCTGATCCTAGTCCAGGGCCATGATCAGACCTTAGCTTAAGCAGCCAGGATGGCTTCTGTTATATCCAGGTGACACTATGACATCACAGTGAGGAAGGAAGGGACTGGACCCCATGATTCTCAGCCTCAGGCTGACCAGGAGGCTGTGGCTAGAGGTCACATCTCCCTGTCGCCCTGTGCAGGTCACATTCCCTATGCCCCATTATGCTGCCTGGACCTGTGCTGGCCACCTCCTGAATCACCTGAAGCTCCATGCTGACACCTGCTGAACTGACCTACCAGCTGTCACCAGTGACAATGTTATTGGGAGGACCATTCCTGAAGCTCTTCCAGAATTGACACACTTTCCAGTCACTTTCTTAAAATGCATAGATAGATTCCTATTAACCATTGATCACCAGGATCTATAATCCTAGCCTCAAAAATGGGACACTTTCTTCACAATTAGTCCCTTGTCCTATGGGATCTGATGACCATGTGTTCATCATTTCACTCAGTTTAATGGAAGAGTGACCATGACAAATTTTTGGGTCAAGAACTTTTGACCAGAAAACCAAAGTGAGCAGATAGAAGTTCTCAAGGTGCTCCATGGGCACAATAGAGAGGGTGGTGATGATCCTGAGATTCTGAAGAGCTAATATTCCATTTCTGGGAGAAAGAGAATCACACAGGGTCAGTGTTGCTGAGCCTTCTCCACACCAGGCAGGACAGGAAATCAACCTCACAGGGCCCAGGGCCAGCATAGCTTGATTTGTGTGGGTTTTTATTTATTAACACCACTGTACCTGTGTTTATGATAATATCATGGTCAGGTGCACTAGGTTGATTATTTTTCTGTAAATGAGTTGCTTTGTTGAATGGTGTATTATGGAAGATTTATAGCACTCATGAAAGCTCTCAGGAGATCTCCACATGTTCCTGGCTGACACAGGACTGAACCCAAAGGCACAGAGGAGAACCTTCCCAGCCTTCCAGTGTTGGTGAGGTCCACTATGGTCAGGTGGATGCCAGGTGTCAGTCTTATCTCATAGTATGGCTATAATAATGGGGGTCAACAGTGTCCAGCCCTCTTGGTGAGTTGGATGCCTTCAAGTGCCAGTGGTCACATGAACTGGGTGAAAAGAGACTGATATTGTAGGAGTCCAGGGAGGGACCTCCATGACATTGGTTCATGAGCCTAAATGGGGGAATAGATGACTATGTAGAATCTTTGTTTGTTCATGCTAATTATTGGCAGTCTCTGCTCAGTAATAACCTTTAAATAATCATTTATTTGGAAAGGACTTATTTTAAATTCTGACCATTTTTAAATATCTGGCCATACCTCTTCCAAAAGGAAATTGTCCCTAATATACCCACATTTCTTCCTCCAAGGCCTGGTAATCTGTCAAAACAGGCTGTCAACAGCATTGCCTTGCCCACCTCTGTTTGGATCTCACACCAAGAGGCCACAAAACTCAGAAGGAGAGAGACTAGGTGCATTCCCAGTCCATGTCTGCAGGTCTCTTAACCCAAGAGAGGATAGCAGGTGCAACCCAGGTCCACAGACCAAAAGACTCAGGGTTGATGTCCATGCAACCTAGCAAGGACCTAAAAACTTACAGAGATACTGTCTCAAAAAATAAATGAATAAATAAATAGAGACATAGCTAGATACACAAATAGAGATAGATAGATGGTAGATAGATAGATAGATAGATAGATAGATAGATAGATAGATAGATAGATAGATATAAATACAAATATGACCATGAATGTAGCTGAGTGGTAGTGCATGTCTGGATTCAATACCAAGTTTGAAGAAAAAGTTGAAAAAAAAAAAAAAAAAAAAAGGAAACAACTCTCTATGCTGTAGTAAAAACCCCTGGAGGAGGTTTGTGTGCACAGCACTCAGGGTGACAGGCCAGTCTGAACATCTTCATGCTGTGAGTGCCAGGCAAATGTCAGCCCAGGTGAAACTACAGGATGGAAAATTATGAAGGTCCACAGCAGAGAAGGGGGTTAGGAGCAGCTGGAGCTCAGACAGTGTGAGGGTGGTACCTGCACTGTGCCAGGTCACACTGCTGGACACATGTCACTGTCCACTTGTCTAGTTCCACAGAATGCTCAAAATGACCCTGGTGTGACCTGTAGACTTGAGCAGAGGTTGATGAATTGTAACAGGAGCAACAGAGTCTGGGCGTGGTGATGGAGAGGCTCTGGAAGCACAGGGGACACATGAGAACCCTGTACTTCACCCCAATTTTGCTGGGGACTTAAAGTATACTAAAAATAAAGTCTTAAAATATTCCCATGTGGAACACATGGAGAGGCTTGTCTTTGCTGCACAACCCCTGATACTGCCTAATTCAGTCTCTTCAGGTCTTAAATTACTTTCTTTATCATACAGTGAGCTCATAGCCTGCTGGGGCTGATCTGAAAGGTCAGGGTGCAGAAGAGCTCCTGTTCCTCTGTCTGACCCTTCTTGTAGTGCTCAGGGCCTGACTGCCTCTGAGGAGTGCCCTCAATAGGTAGAGGCAGCAGGAGGAACAGCTGGGGCAGCCCAGCCTCACACTTCTGCTCCCTGGGAGGGTTTTGTCATGGCCTGTGTCACTGTAAGAGGGGAACTGCTACCTTGTTGACAGTAATAATTGGCAACATCTTCAGGCTCCAGGCTGCTGATGGTGAGAGTGAAATCTGTCCCAGATCCACTGCCACTGAACCTCAAGGGGACCCCAGATTTCAAAGTGTTTGCATATCTGATGAGGAGCTTAGGAGCTTGCCCTGGTTTCTGCTGGTACCAGTGTAAATAATTGCTAATGCCCTGACTGGCCCTGCAGGTGAGGGTGACTCTGTCTCCATGAGACACAGGCAAAGAGGATGGAGACTGGGTCATCATGATGTCACATCTGACACCTGCCATTGAAAACATAAAAAGAAATAACCTTGTAAGTAGTGATGTTTCAAGAGGATTTTCCTGAGTAGCCAGGCAGCACTGACCACACTGTAATTAGTAAATCCCAAGTTCTGTCCCTCCTTACCTTGGAGGCAGAGCATCAGGAGCCCTAGGAGCTGAGCAGGGGCCCTCATGGCCATGCTGTGTCCTACGGAGACTGACTCCTGCACAGGGTGTGAGAAGGCTCTTAAGAAATCCTCAGGGCAGTGGACTGTGCTGTGGGCACATGCAAATCAGCAGGGTTGGGCAGGCTGGGCACAGCTGCAGGGAGGCTCCTCCTGGTCAATCAACACAGGCTCAGTGTGTCCAGGTGTCCCAGGTCAGACAAGGACAGCTCAGATTTTCTTAAGGTAAACATGGTTCCCTAAGGACACAGGACACAGTGAGCCCTCTGAGCTGTGAGGGGTGATCTGTAGTCACTCTCTGGTTCAGGACAGGCTGTCCTTGTGTCTTAAGCACAGTTCTGAATTGGGGAATCTTGGAGGAGGAAGAAACATTACAGAAGCAAGGGAGTAGTTTATGCTTTGGAAGTAAAAACAGAAATAAAGACAGACAGAGAGAAAGATGTATAAACTCACTGAGGTTTTTGGGGTTTCTCAACATTGGTACAGCATGGGTAAGAGGCAGGGAGGAGGGACCCACCCATGGACACAGCCCTCCCTGCCTCAGAGTCCCACAGAACACACCATAACCATCATGGTGTCCATCTTCTCCTGACCAGAAGGTCTAAGGCCAGACAGGCTCTTCAACTTAACTATCTTATAAAAGAAGGAAGAATAATTTTACAAATGATGAAGGTATTTTAGAGATTTCAGTTTGGAGAATATAGGCATGGTCAGCATCTTAGTAAAAACAGTAAAGATCCAGATTCTGTATATAATTCTACTTTACCCATATTACCAAATGGGTTTTTAAGTCCTAATAATGCCTCATGACCTCAAGAGGGTGGCAGTGTCTCTAAACATCATATCCTCCATCAGGTCCTCTTATAACTTTTCCAGAAATCAAGCAAGTCAAAGATTTTCACCCTTGTCCTTCTCAGAGTTATCAAAAAACTTTCCCAATAACTGTCCACAATCTTCTTTTTACTTTCTTCTTCTTTTTCTTTTGTTTTCTTTCTTTTTTTTTTTTTCTTCTCTTTCTTTTTTTTTTTAATTTCCACCTTTGGTTCTGGTGACTGAACCTAAGGCCTGGTGCATGCTGCACAGTTCTTTACCTCTGAGTCAGAGCCCCCACCCCTCCCTCCCTCAGTTACACATCATTTCTGGGATCATCAGTTGTCTCCAGATACTTCCTCCTGCCCTGGTCTGGGAAGGCTCACCTGTTCCTACCACAAACAGCAGGACAGAGCTGGTGATCAGTAAACTAAAGGAAAAAAAGGGGAAGGTTTAAAAGCTTCACCCTATTTTCAATACCCCTGTGCTTGTGCTAAGTTCCTTAGGGAAGAGAGACTACAATGAAATCTTTACTGTGGGGCTAGGAAAAGTACATTCAGGTCAAGTTTCTCCTTAGCAAGTCACAACCTGCAGGTGGACAATTGTGGGAATGTGTACAGAGCATCTGATGAAGGAAGGACTTTGCTGATGATGTAGATGGGAAAGGCTGGGGCAGGAGCTCACACAAGGCTGGGCTCAGGCTGGGGTGCCTGAGAGCTGCAGGCTCTGGCCCTGGGCTCTGAAGAGGAGGTTCTCCTGGGCAGTGTGGTGAGGACCTGGGGAAGCAGAGGCCCTTGCCTCAGGCTGCCTGGCTGGGAATCCAGTGGAGGAAGATGCTCCACTTCCCAGGACTGAGGCAAGCAGAGAGGCCATGGCCAAGGGAGGTTCAGAGACCAGGAGTCGGCTCTCCCCTGGCTCTGCACTCAGTACTGAGCTCACTGTCCTGGGTAGAGACCCTGCTACCAGAGAAGAAGGTCAGCAAAGACCTCCAGAGCCTCTTCTCAGCCAGAGTTCAATTTAAAACTAAAGGAATACTCCATGCCATGTATATAATATTTAAAATATAAATCCTATCGACATGTTGGTGTTTACTCTGTAACTCTAATATGAATATGTGTATAACATAGATATTTCTTGACTTTTTGTTAAATGTATGCTTTTATATTTATTTATTTACTCATTTGATTATATATTTATTTACTTATTTATTTGTTTCTCAGCTGCAGTGATGCAGTCAGGGTTCTGACATGCTAGGCCACGATGAACTACATCCAAGTCAGCTCCTTTTTTTTACATACTGTGTTCTATAGTTTTCCTGGGGTGTCCTTTAACCTGCAGTCCTCCTCCCTCAGTCTCAAGGTATCTGGGACTATACATGTGTGCCACGCTGCCCATAGTACTCTAAGTGCAGACACCCTGAGCCTGGGCATGTAAAGCTGGCATCTCTTGCCTAAACCCAAGGCTGCCTCTCCACTCTAAGGACTGAGCATGAGCACCATGGAGTTCTGGACCTGCACAGGGCCCTCCTGCTGCCTGGAACAGTGACCTTCCCATTGCTCAGGACACTGGGGGATGTGATGGGTTCCAGTGACAGAGAGAAGCAAGTGTCATAGTGATGGGCAGTTGTTCTGTGGACCAAATAGAGTTTCTATGTCCAGAGCTGGGCATGGGCAGCTCCTTCATGGTTGCTTCCCCACACAGGGCAGAAGAGCTGGCTCAGTGACTGCATGGCCACAGGACAAAGCCATCCACAAATGCTGGTGGCCACTCCTCTGACTAGAAGGACACAAGTGCCTCTGGCAGCTCCACAGTTCATATAATGCAGGGACTCTGTTCACAGTGGACCATGTTGGCCACACGTACAGCCCTGAACAGCTGCTGCTCTCCTTTCTGGTTTCTAAAGTCTACCAGGCACCACATTTGACTTTCCCTTGAGAATCCAAGGGGTGGAGTCAGAGGCAGGCCAAGGGCCAGGATGTGCAGGAGAACAGGGTTGTGACCCACATGAGGACAGCCATGTGGGGAGTGAGGAGTGACAGGTGTGAACTCAGAGCAGGAGGGGAAAGGACAGAGAAGACCCAGGCAGGAGGACAGAGGAGAGACATTGGAGGAGCCCAGGTACAGGGAGAAGGTATGGGAGGGGTAGGGAGGGTGTGACTTCAGAGCTGTCCCCAACCTGCACCCCTGAGGGTCCTCAAACTGTCAGCAGCCCTATGCACAAGCAGCATCTGAGTGGAGGTTTGTCCCCTAGTGAGGGCAGGAAGAAGTTCAAGTTCCTTGAAGGAAGTGTGGCTGCTGGTGGTCATAGTAACCAGTGTCCCTGCCCCACAGCCCTCCCAGGAAGGCAGGGTGTACAGAAGGCAGAAGCAGGCAGCAGGAGCTCAGCAGCCAAGCCTGGTCCTGATGGTGCCAGGCTGGATGCTGCTATTACCCTTGCTAGGCCTTCAGGGGAAAGTGATCTCTTACCTGGTAAGACTAACATGCGTGAGACCCTGTGTGTTTTCACTTAACCAAAAGTGAGTCCTCTCTCCAGGTTTCTGATGGATAGTGGACAAAGGCAGGAGGAAATGACCCAGAGGATCACGAGGCAGTAGGTGGTGTCAGGGTGCAGGAGGAACATTACTAGGATCCTGTCAGTCGGAAGGGTAGCACAGTACCTTAGGGCCTATTTTGCAAAGGCTAGGTGGCCACTCCCTGGAAGTCCTTGTGGCCTGAGCCCTCAACAAGGAGTGACAAAGTGTCTCTGTGGACATCCTGGATATGGCGTGGACTGACTTTGCACACAAGTGTCCATGCTTTGGCTTAGGCCTGCCTGGCCTCCTCTAAAGCACTGCACTGTCCCCTGAGCCCAGCCTTGTGTCCAGCATCCCCTGGGCTTTGCAGCTGCTCCTGCTGCACCTGGAGGCTGCCCTCCCTTGGGGCTGGTGCTGTGGCTGCTTCACCTGCAGGGTCTGGTGAGGGTCCTGCTCAGGAGAGTGGGCAGCACTCCAGGACACACACAGGGCATTTTGCAGGTGACATCCATACAATCAATACAAAGTGAATGCACATAGAGTCTGCCCATGGACTGGGAGGTGAGAGAGGAGTCTGAGGCTCTTCATGCAGGTGGAGTATGTAATGGTGCCTCTTCACAGGAACATGATTCTCTGGGGGCAGTTACTGTGTTCTGCATGTGAGACACTGAGCTTGTGACTTCTAAAGTTCCTTGGCCAGGACAGCTGGCATTGTCTTGCATTTCCACTGATGGAAAACCATAGCAAAATGTCCTTGAATGGATTCTGGATGGTTTTACCAGACAACTCCATCAGTGGTTGATTATTTAAGAAAGTCATGTCCAGGTGTGTTTAGCTAGAACTGTATTCACACTCTTTCCCATTCGGGGTCAGACACCAGGAGGCAGGATTATGACAGGATAAAGAAAGGTAGGACAGGTCACTCAGATGTCAGCTCCATGGGATGGTCCTGGGAAAGCCACAAATTCCCACCTCCTGGGAACCCTCGGCCCTCTATCTGCAGAGAAGCAGGAATAGCAGAGAAAGCCTCCTTGTGCTACACACAGAGCAAAAATGCTGTGGTTGTATCCACATCCCAGGGTCAGAATGTGGGAGATCCCCTCTCTTACCCTGGCTTAAATGTGAGCAGGACCTGGGAACAATTTCTGGAACCATTGTTGACAGTGTCTGTGCTTGGACAGATTTAACCACATACTGTTGAGGTCAAAATGAGGAGAATATAAATGTCTGGGAACCAAACTACACTTAGGGATTCACCTTTAACTGCCTGTGCTTGCAATCTTATGGCTCTTCTGGAGACTCCATCATCACCTGGTAAATAGGGAAATAACACCAAGTGTCCCCATCCTCTCTAATCACTCACATTTCTTCCAGGGAAGCAAAGAGGGCCTAGGAGACCATGAATCTTTCAGACCTGAATGAAGCTTGGTTCCCACTCACACAACCTTTCCAGGTGCATTGGGAAGATAAAAGTGCAAAGTATTTGACTGGGTGCCTCTGGGGGCAGCTGCCATATTCTATGGGGAGGGTGGCAGAGGGGACTGTGAGGTTTCTGTGGGGGACTGAACCACTGTGGTAACCTGTGTGTCCTTGCAGAGTCACACACTGCAGCCTCCCCAGGCTCCAGGCTGTGATGGGAGGGTGTAGTCTGTCCCTGACTGACTGCCACTGAACCAGGCTGGGACTCCACTGGCCCTGATGAATGCACCCTAGATGAGGAAAGTGGGAACCTGCCCAGGCCTCTGCTGGTACCAGGAGAAGGAGCTGCCAACCCTCTGACTGGCCCTGCAGGTGAGGGTGGCTCTTTCCTCTGGAGACAAAGCCACAGTGGCTGGAGTCTGTGTCAGCACAATTTCTCCTGTGGTACCTGAGATGGAAAGAGAACAGAAAGGTCACCTGTGCGATCTAGGTCATATCACAGTCTCCAGAGTAGAGCCAGGACCCAGCAGCACCCTGAGCTTGAATCACTGGGCTTGCTAAACAGAGGTGCCAGGACACAGGACCGAACCACAATGACAGAGGTTTCACAGGTGTGTAGAACCACCCCATCATCCCTCACCTGGGAGTCAGAGTAACAGGAAGCTGAGGAACTGACTGGAGGCTGCCATGGCTCCCTCTAGGTCCCACCCGAGGCAGAGCTTCCCAGAGCCCTTCTCACCATGTCCAAACATCATGAGGTGATCCACGTTTCTGAGCTTTACTAAATGAGAAACTTTAGCCACCAGGGAAAAATTGTAAAGGACACTATATGTACAGCTATTGAAAGGAAAGGGGAATGTATCTGCAACAACGTTTTTCTAGTTTGAAAAGTGGCAGATGGTGCTGATGACAATGTCATGCATTGACCTGGTTCAACTCTGCTGGGTTGGGAGAGGATTCAAATACCAACTGTGCCTGCAAAGTTCAGAAATAGAGTATGGTATAGCCAAGTGTCTCTATTCAGAGAGAAACAGGGACAAGCTACAGGGCCCAGCCACAGAGCTGACACTATCTGCCACAGAACTCTGGCTAAAACTTTAGTCTCCTGGAATACACAGCAGCTCAGGCCTCAGACCTGAGCTCAGGCAAAGATAACTCTCTTGCTTTAGGTCACAGCCTGAAGTGACTGTGGTCATGCGGACACCAGGCAGCACCGCCCCATGTGACTCTGCATGGATGGCCTCATTGCTTGGACACGATGAGCAGGAAATGGCAAGAACTCTGGTGTCCAGAGAAAATCATGTTCTCTAGAGGG